AAGAGCTCTTAACCATTGAGTCATCACATCAGCCTTCCTTTGAAGAGTCTTTAAAAAAAGATGAACTCTCTGGGGAGAGGGGCTGAGGGGTTGGGGGAGTGGGAGAGGAGAGGAGGGAGAGGGAGCTGGGATTGACATGTGAAGCAAGCTTGTTTTTAATTTAAATAAAAAAATTTTTAAAGGTGAATTCTCCTCGACCCTTGGAGGAAATTGAGAGGATTAGTATTTCAGACCCTCCAATAACCATGCCATTAGCTGGAAGTAATTTTTTTTCAACTCGATTCCTTTATGTTTCTTGGTAGAAAGTACATCTTCTAGCTTCAAAGATCACCTTCTGAGAAGGACCCATTTGGAGTCTTTCAGTAATTTAAATGGCATCTTTAGGGTAGTTCTCCTGGGAATGGCAACAGGTGAATCTTGTCTGTTGCGTGTGCGCGCGCACGCATGCGCGCGCACACACACCCACACACCGCAGTCTCGATGTAGGCACATCCCAGCAGCCTTGATCATATCCTTTGACCAGACCAACTTTCTCCTTTTGCTGTCTGTTGTTTCTCTCTTCCCTCCCTCCCTCCTTCCCTTCCAGCCTTCTTTTCCTCTTGCAGGTGGTCTCACTGTGTTATACAGTCTAACTTGAACTCATGACCTTAAGTGGTCCTCCTGCCTCTGCTCACAAGTGTTGAGATTACAAGTGTGTCCCACCATGTCCAGCTATTTTGTGGGTAAGTGTGGATGCTGATACACATCAGCATCCCAAGGTCCAAGGGTCAATGTCAGGTGTCTTTTCTCAATCTTTCCTTTCTTTATGTTTTGAGACAAGGTCTCTTACTGGAACTGAAGCTCAGGCCCCTGACCGTGAGTGTCAGGGACCCACCTGGGGTTACAGGCACACACCACTATCCTGGGGATTTTTTGTGGCTTACAGGGTTCTGAACTCGGGTCCTTGTGCTTGAATGGCAGGCACTTTACCAATGAGCCATCTCCCCGAGTCCCAAATGTCTCCTTCTCCCTAACTTGGTGGGTTCATCCATGGAGTTTTCTTGAGCATGACCTTGTCCCAGACACATACATGTGCCCCAAGGTTTTTGTTTTTCGTCTTAATATCTGTGCGGTTCTTGGATTTCTGCTGTCAGTGATCTCGAAGACAACTGTGGTGAGCTTATGGTCTTTGCTGTTGTGACATCCTACAATGGACTTGAGATTGCTTTCGTCATCACTCCAAAGTTTGCCTTGAAGCTTCCAAGTCACACTAGCTGTTTTGGAGACTGGTCTGTGGCACTCTGAGCACTTTTGTCAGGAGGAAACAGCCTCCCATTTGGCGTTTCTTCCAGGCCCCCTGCAGCAGGACTCTGCTACCATTCTGCCCTTAGCAGAGTTTCACGGGAGTCCTGATTCTGAGGACCCTTGCCAGAGGTTCCCCTGCACAACCCTAGGGGGCACTTACCACATCACAGCGGTCTTGTCCTAGTTGGGATTTCTTGCTGTGATGAAACACCAATACCCAAAGCAACTTGGGCAGGAAAGGGTTTATTTCTCTCACGGTTCCATATAACATGTTGCTCATCATCAAAAAGTAGTGAAGGCAGGAACTCAAACAGGGCAGGAACCTGATGGAGGCAGGAGCTGATGCAGAGGCCATGGAGGGGAGCTGCTCACTGGCTTGCTCCTCATAGCTCATAGCTTGCTCAGATTGCTTTCTTATAGAACCCAGAACCATCAACCCAGAGACAGCCTCACCCACCTTACTGACTTGCCTACAGCCCAGGCATCTTCTCAGTTGAGGCTCCCTCCTCTCCAATGACTTTAGCTTGTGTCAAGTTGACATGAAACCAGCTGGCACCAGTCTAAAGGACTCTGTCATGGGAGAGGTGCTTTCTTGGGTCGCTGCGACATGAACCTAAGAGAAGTTCATATGCAGGAAAGCACAAAACCCTTAGGAAGCCACCTGGGTCAAGTGGTGTGCCTTGCATGCTTAACATAACACCCAATAAAGGGTCTGTCTGTCTATAAATATGTCCACATGCCTGTATGCATAGATTTGTCTTTTAAATGGTAGTTACAAAGAGTTAAGGAATGGTATTCCACTTATGATCTTTAAAATACTCAAATTTGGGGCTGGGGTGTGCTGGGGTAGGAGTCAGTGGGTAAAGTGTTTGCTGTGCAAGGGTACCCATATGAGTTCTGATCCCTGGCACTCACAAAAGCTAGGCACAGTGGAGTACATCTGTAGCCCCGTGAGTTCCATGTTCACTAACAGACTCTGCCTCAAAAAACAAATGAAGGGGAATAAAAGGCGCAGAGTGACAAAGAAAGACCCTCAACACCGACTGGCCTCCTCTGTCTCCATCCACACCTGCACACACATGTGCATTCATGCACACACCTCCACCCCAAAAGACCCAAATCTGTTATTCTCACATGCTCCCCAGAAGGCTATAGTATGCCAGGCGGTAGTGGTGCACACTTTTAATCCTAGCACTTGGGATTCAGAGGCAGACTGTTCTCTGTGCATTCAAGGCCAACCTGGTCTACAGAGTGAGTACCAAGTACCAGGACAGGTTCCAAAGCTACAGGGAAACCCTGTCTCGAAATACAAAACAAACAAACAAAAAGCTGTAGCAATGAGAAAAAACCAAGGAATGGAATTCTCTTGACAGTGACAATGTAGCAAAGAAATAAGCCACAGGGATGTGTGATGTGGAATTCTTTGTTACCCAGGAAGACACTCGGAAGCCTAAATGTTTGTTAGTAGCGATGTTCAGTCTACAAAATGAATTCAGGGAGGCTATTAGAGAGAGAGAATTGAGTCATGTATACTCATGTGAAACAATTTCTAAGAAACATTGTTCACTGGAAAAAGCAAGGGACAGAACTGTAGGTATTAGTGGTTATTTTTTTAATTTCAAAGACACATACTTATGTATATGTATGAAGATGTGATTATAACTAGAAACTCCTAGAGAAAATTTCAAGAGTAGCTGTTGCACATGGTTAGCTCTGGAAAGCATGACCGAGACCCTGGGGTACAGTGGAGGCATGTGCTTTTGAATTCTTTGGGTATTTTATTGAATGCCCAAATTGCTTTTCATCTGAAAAGAAATTCTGGTATAATAACATAAGCTAAAAGCAACATCCTGAGTTCTCTCCGTGGGTAGACTCTGTTGACACCCTTCTTTACATCTTGAGAATCTCTCTCCCGGTACCCAGGACCTCGGGGAGAAGGAAGGAGGGACGAGAGTAGAGTCGCAGCAGGCCTTGGCTGCCCTTGTCCCCAGGTGCTTGCTCCTGCTGCAGCTGTGGCCATTAGAGAAGAGCTGGGTGGAAACCACCTTTCTGTGCAGGGCCCCGTGCACCGGTGAACACCGCCACCCAATGCCTAGGGCCTGGCGCATCAGCAGTTTGGGCTCACTTGAGGGAGGCGGAAGAGAGGATGAGAGAGAACGAGAGAGGAGAGGTGGGCAGAGGGGATGAGTGAGGGAAGAGGGCACTGGGTCCCATTCCCCCGTCATTTTTCTAGGAGTCTAGCTCGGAGGCCTGGGTTGGTTATCTGGTTTTAGTCTGTTCCGGGGACATCTTCCTTTATACTGAGCCCCACAATGTCAACCTCACCCTCCTAAAGTGGCCAGACTCCTGGCAAGACCTGGTCAGAGCCTGCCCAAGGCCAGTCCCTGGGGACACACACCTCCAGCCTTGGCTGTCTTGTCCTTCCCCTCCTCTTGTCTACAGCGCGCCCTTTGTTCTAGGCAGACCTCAAGCTCCTACTTCATTCCCTCTGGGAAGGTCTCCTTTTCCATGAAGAGTCATTTTCTGCCTCGATTTCCCTTCAGGACATCGGAGGCTGGAGCTGCTCCAGGTCTTTCAAGTCCCCCAAAAGAGTCCAGGCATGAACCTGGTGGCTTTTAATTGCCTCTGGACAGGCCATATGCCTTGCCTTGAACCAGTGGACAATTCCGTTCCTGGGGATGTGATGTGCTGATTGGGGTCATCCCTGCAGTCAGAGGTGGATTCAACTGTCCAATCAGGAAAGTGGGTGAAGTAGAGTGGAGGGTACCATGCTTAAAGGGGAGCTGGAGCCCGTAAATAGCATCTGAAACCCTGATCCAGCAGCACCCCAGTACTTCCCCTCTCCTTCATTCCCCTCCCCTCCGCTGCCCTCCCTTCCCCTCCTCTGTATTGCTAGAGACTGAACCAGAGGTGTTGTATGTGTGAGGTAATGCTCCATTCCATCTCTGAACTATAGCCCCAGGCTCCTTTCTAGTTTTTCTACATTCTGAGCCAGGGTCTCACTCAGTTGCCAGAGCTAGTCTTCACCATGTGATCCTCTTGTTCCAGCATCACCCTCTGCCCGTTTCTGGGTTGCAGGTTCACACTACAGATGCACACTACCAGGCCCGGCCGTTTTCAATGATGTAAAATTCTCTCTTTGCGTAAACCAGCTTGATTCAGAGTCTGTGTTGTTACTCGATTCAGTGAGAGCTCTGATGGAGAAAAAGAGAGGCTCAGGCACAGAAGAGTTCATTTTCATAGGTGTGTGTGTGTGTGTGTGTGTGTGTGTGTGTGTGTGTGTGTGAGCGTGTGCGCGTACGCGTACGCACTGCTCAGAGATCGATAGCGGGAGTTTCCCTCAATCACCCTTCACTTTATATAGCGAGGCAGGATCTTTCTCCTTGAACTCAGAGCTCCCTAATTTACCAATTTGGCTACTCTAGTTAGCCAGCTGCTCCCAGGAATCTTGGTCTCCTCCTCCCGTGCAACGGTGTGATGAGTAAGCCACTATGCCCATCCAGCATTTTTATGGGTTCTGGGGACCTAAGCTCCAGTCTTCATACTGGCAAATGCCTTAGTCCAGGCCATCTCCCCAGTCCCTTGTTCTGTGTTTATTACTTTCCATGCATTAAACATGGGTTTCAAAGTGCTCATCGTCCTCTGCCAAGTTGTTTTAGCTGTTCATCAGTTCAAAGGAGTGAGAGGAACTCTCTTCTCTGCTGTTGGTGTTGCAGGCAAGAACATGAGCCGTCACTACACAAATAACAACTGCTCGTTCGACGATGTGGATAAGCTGATGAGTGCCTTGCAGCTGGCAGTCCACATCCCCACCTTCCTCCTGGGCCTGGTCCTTAATCTCTTGGCAATCCGAGGCTTCAGCGCCTTCCTTAAGAGAAAGAAGCAGCCAGAATACACTGCCACTTCCATCTACATGATTAACTTGGCTGTCTTTGACTTACTGCTTGTGCTCTCACTACCATTCAAGATGGTGCTGCCGCAAGTGGAGACCTCCTCCCAAGCTTTCTGCACTCTGGTGGAGTGCCTCTACTTCATCAGCATGTACGGGAGTGTCTTCACCATCTGCTTCATCAGCCTGGACCGGTTCCTAGCCATCCAGTACCCAATCCTGGTCAGCCACCTCCGGTCCCCCAGGAAAACCTTTGGGATCTGCTGCATCCTCTGGATCCTGGTGTGGATCGGAAGCACCCCCATCTATACTTTCCATGGGGAAATGGATAAATACAAGTGCTTCCACAACATGTCTGACGGCACCTGGAGTGCCAAGGTCTTCCTCCCCCTGGAGATCTTTGGCTTCCTGCTTCCCATGGGCATCATGGGCTTTTGTTCCTATAGGAGTATTCACATTCTGCTGGGCCGTCGGGCCTACACCCAGGACTGGGTCCGACAGAGAGCATGCGTCTGGACCATCGCTACCAACCTTGTCATCTTCGTGGTCTCCTTTCTCCCAGTGCACTTGGGTTTCTTCCTGCAGTTCCTGGTGAGGAATGGCTTCATAGCAGAGTGCAGAGTTAAGCAGAACATCAGCTTGTTCCTGCAACTGTCCCTGTGCTTCTCCAACATCAATTGCTGCCTTGATGTTTTCTGCTATTACTTCGTCATCAAAGAATTCCGCATGGGCATCAAGGCCCACCGGCCTTCCACAGTCCAGCTGGTCCACCAGGACACCATGATCTCCAGGGGTTAAGGGACGGTAACCCTCTCAAGGGAAGGAGATCCTAGTCCCAAATTTTCATAAGGAGCACCCCGTGCTTCTTTGACACTTGCTGAGTTACATCTTTGTTCTGTGTACCCCTAAGACCGGTCCACGGCACCTGGATGGCTGACATATATCACCTTTGGTCTGGGTTTGCTAAAGAACCAGGTGATTTCATTTCTAAGTTCAAAATGTATGAAGCAGAAGAAACGAGCAAGGAAACGTAGCTTTAGCCATTTGTTTCTCAGCTTTGCATTCTGTTGGAAGAGTCTAAAAAGGAAGAGAGAGATGGAGAATGGATTAGGGCGAGGAATCAAGAGCATTTTGGTAGAGATCTAGGGATAGGGAGATCTTGTTCAAGATAGAACAAGCTTGTACTTTTTTTCCAGACCCTTCTGAAGCTCTGTTCGCAATGACCTCACAGAAATGATGACCAAGAGGGCTTTTAAGGGCTGAACAAATTCCTTTCCAGTCCTAAAAGACACAAGAGGCCATCCAAACCTCAAGCCCCTGAGAAGGATTAGATGGAGGGAGGGGGCTATGTGAAGCAGGTCATGGGGAAACAGGAGACACTGTGGGGCCAATTGGGACAGAGTGGGAAGGATACAGAGTGAAAGGGACCAGAATATACCCAGGGAAGGAAAGAGACACACCGGAGCTGGAACTGGATGCCTCCTCCCCTAGTACCCCTTAGTGCTGTCCCAGGACTAAGCCAAAAAATATAGCTCTCTCGGAGGTGACCAGTCTTCTTTCTTGAACAGCCTTGAAGTAGTTCATTAGACCTGTGTGAAGGGGCCGAGAAAGGATTGGTCTTAACTTGGTTCAGCCATAGCACAATGAAGAAGGTGTCCCTTTTGGGTCCTGGTTGGACAACCGGTGACACTGTCTAGGGAGCTGGGCAGGAACTGGATGGGAGGGGGTGACTTTCTTCATTGGCCACACAAAGGATTGGAGGACAGTAGTAGATGCTCGCCAGCCCTGGAGGGAAACTACAGACAGCTGAAGCAGTGTGGGAGCCTTCCCCGGCTCTTCTCACCCTGGCAGAGGAGCTCACAGTGACAGCCGAAGGCCGAGCTTGCGATGACTCAGCTGTTCCAGAGAGTGAAATGATTAGAAGGACAAATTGTGGGGTGTTTTTGCAAGACGGAAGGAGTGGGTTGAGAAGAAACCCATGAGACTTGACACGAATGAGACACGGTCTTTAGGAAGAGAAGCAGCCCGAGCCCTGACCAACTGGATCCTACAGGATCAGCGGCTGGGGGAGGGGTGGTGACATGGGGAGGGATGGGAGAAGATGGAGATGTGTCTATAATTTGGGACCTGCCCACGGAGCAGAAGACGGAGGTGAAGCAAGGTGTAGGAGAAAGGAGGAGCAGGGAGGGAGGGAGAGGAGGCAGGGGGAGAAAGAGGATAGAAAAGGAGGAGAGGAGGAAGATGGATGGGCAGGAAGGGCTGAGGCAGGGAGAGAAGAGGAAGGGTGGGGGCGAGGGGGAGAGGCAGAGCGGCTTCCTCCTCAGAGGCTGTCATTTCCATTGGATTGGAAGCCGTGGAAGAGTGGGTAGGTGCTTCCAGGCCATGGTGGCTGTGGCAGTATTTAGGTGGCACTGCGGAGCCACCTGTGGGCCACTGAAGGAAAGTGTGAAGAAGAGAATCAAGGACCTTGGCAGTGTAGAGGAGGGAGGGCACTAGGACAAGAGCCCCATGCCAGCCTTGGACCTCCAGGAACCGGCCAGCAGAGACGCAGCACTGTGCAGACCCAGAAATGAGGGTCCCCGCTTGGATGCTGTCCTGGATAGAGACACCATCTGTGACACTGACACAGCCTGACACATACAGTGGAACATTTGGGGCTGCTTTAGGTTAGTCCATGACCGGGTAGGTCTTGGGATCACCTCCTCCGAGTTCCCTCTGTGTACGGAGTCATCAGCACATCCACGAAAGTCCAATAGTCCCCTCCATGTGCAAGTGTGTATGCTAGGCTGCCCCAGAGCAAAGGCTTAGGAGACCCTAATTACCCACCATTCCCACCAATGACCAAAGCTAAAACCTGGTATAGCAAGACTCTAAGATGGAAAGGGCTTTGTGTCCCCAAGATGGTCATTATCAAATGGCCAGGGAATCTAGAGCCATAAGCCGAGGAAAGCAAAGGACACGGTTCCTGGAGGGGCACAGCATTGTCAGATTGGTGTGATGGCCCCGGACCTGGAGATGGGGGAGGGTAAGGCTTGAGAACCCCCTGACTCATTCCAAATTAATGAGTAAGGAGGACAATGCTTGTTTTTTCCCGTGGAGACTTACCTGGCGTGTGTCCAGACTCTGGGCCCAAGTCACCAGTCCTATGGGTCATCAACTGGCAATTGCCCCAGCAGTACAGGAAACGAGGGGGGTCAGTGTTAGAGTTGGAGTGCAGCATATTGCACCAGTGATTGGGGACACCCGGACTTAGTTGTAAAAAAAGCCTAGGTTCCTGTAACTAAAGCCAATGGGGCTAGAAGCTATTGTTTAACCATTAAACATTATCTTTTGTTGTTGTTTTGTTTTGTTTTTTGTTTTTTTTTTCAAGACAGGGTTTCTCTGTATTGTTTTGGAGCCTGTCCTGGAACTCGCTCTGTAGACCAAGCTTGGTCTCAAACTCACAGAGATCCCCTGCCTCTGCCTCCTGAGTGCTGGGATTAAAGGCGTGCGCCACCACCACCCGGCCCATTAAACATTATCTTATTTGTACCCAGGCTATAAAGCCTGACACATCAGCTACATGTACAGTTGTGAAATCTAACAAACTTAATTGGAAAATCAATTTGATTAATATGATCTACCAAATAAAGAAATTCATTCAATGCACTGTGACCTTGTCTTGTCTGGTTCCAGAAAAGAACTGATTTGTAATGGCCCCTGCTAAGGGATTCAACAATTGTGGTCACTTTACCAGACACCTGGGCACCAAGTATGATGTTAGAGAGTGCCTACCTCAGGTGTGCAGCTGGTCTTCCCAGTTGACCGGGAGCTAGGCCCTAGGGGGTGTCTATGGTGGTCACATGGGTGCCCCGTTATCCGTGGTAGTCACTGAGTCTCTTAGACCCCACACACCTGGCCCAGTCCTCTTCAGCCTGTTCCTTCATCTTGTCCCACCACAACACTGGCTCTGTATACATGAGGGGTCTAGCCCGAGAGGTCTGCTGGACACCCGTCCTCCAATGGTAACGCCTTCTTCTCTGGCCGGTTATGATACAAATCTATCTTTCCTCATGGGGACTCCTCATTTACCAGAGCCCCTGACAGGCATGGCTCAGTAGGTCTAGGCCTAAGTCACTCCTTTCTCCTACGTACTCAAGTTCCAAGACATGGCCTGGATGTGGAAGGCTGACCAGGGACAGCCTCATTCCGTAACAGTCACTTTTCTGTTAGCCCTGGCTACCTCATGGCTATTCCTTGGCTCCCAGAGGATTACACTGGAAAAACGTCTTCATTGACTGCATTTGCTGTTATGTTCCTCACGTGTCCCCTCCCTGTGGACCCTTCCGGGGAGGATTTGACTGGAAAACGCATGTTCACATCAGCTGCATCTGTCAGCTGGATTCCTCATGAGTCCCCTCCCTGTGGACCTTTTGAAGCTGAAGTCATTACAGTAATACAGTGGAGATGCCCTGGGTTTCTGAGAATGCCCACAGGGAAGATTCTACCCTCTAGAAAGTTACCATGAATCACCAGTAATTTCAAAGATGCTTGAAATGACTGTAGCAGCTGCAGAGACTTGCGAGGATTAGAAAGGGTTGGCTTAGCAGATCAGCGAGGAAAAGACAGGGTGAGCTTTCTAGCCAGGGGTGAAAAGGGACGCTTCGCCAGCACACACACTAAAATTGGAACTACACAGAGAGGATTAGCATGGCCCCTGTGCAAGGATGACACGCAAATTCATGAAGTGTTCTGTATTTTGATTAAAAAAGAGTGCCAACATGTGAGGATGCTGCCTGTCAGGTCCTCTGTGGTCCTCAGAGGGCCAGCTACACTGTACACAGCATCCTTTTGGGGTCACAGAGAGGCTGGCTGAGGCCACTGTGAGAATCCCATTCTGAGGACAGGGGACTCAAAGATTCACAAAAGTTGATTTTGAGGTGCTCACCCCTGAAATTATCACCATAGCACCTCTCACTTCTCAGCAGTGCCTCTTGGGAAGGCCAGGGCAGAGCTCCCACAGGTGCTGAAGGAATTTGGAGCACAGTAGAGGTGAGCACAGCAAGTGCCTGTCCCCTCTTCCCTCCATGAACAGTGCTAGGTGGGGGCGGAGGGGGGCATGGGGGCTGTGGGGGTTGGGGGGTGGTGGGGAGCACCTTCACTGTGAGCTACAACAGAAGTGAGGCCCACTGTCCTTTGATGTCTGCGGAAGACTTCAAAGGAATGCTTGAGGGAGCAACCCCGAGCTCACCTTTGAGGCCCCAGGCAGCGCCTTTGCTCCAAGGCAGTCACCTGAGAAACTATAACCAAAACTTGTCTGCACAGCATGCAATGCAGTCATGGGGGTGGCAGAGTGTGGGAGGGGTGTCGAACAGAACAGTCACCAAAAAAGGCTATTTAGGGTGATCTGCAGAGTGTGGCCCAACCCCTCTCTCCTAAGGATGGCTTTGGATGATCAAACACACTCCTGTTGCCCATCCAAGTCACATCGTGGAAAAGGTTGAAAGTGAAGAGGCCTAGGGACGTAGGGCCATTCATTGCTCAGGGTTAAGCCAGGCCTGACTAAACCCGAGGATGGCAAGAGCTGATTTTCAGAGACGGCACTGCTCACACAAGCTGGGCCTGCCCAGCGGATAGGACTGACACGAGGGACACCGTGCTGGTGGCAAAGACCCGGGGGACACAGGGTTCCTCCCCTTCCCTCTCCAGCAGAGAGGATCTGGAAGCCAGGAGCCCTGAGATGCTTAAGGAAGACTCTAGACAGGCTTGAGGGTAGGGGATATTTTTGGAGTGGGACTTCAGAAGCATCTGTCGATGAGGAGATGCCCCCACGAACACACAAGATAGGTTGGTGCGCTTAGGCGCTGGGAAGGACAGGTCCGGCTGCAGGAAGCCTCTGCCCTATTCTTCTGTGCACACACATCCCTTCCCCCCCCTCTCAAGGAGCAGCTGGGGCTTTGTTCTCACTGAAGGCCATCAAGGACAACCACTTGATACAGAGTGGGAAGGGGTAGGTGCTGAAACACGGGTGCTTGGTAGACTTGCCTGCACCTGCTGGACCGGGGGTCAGGAACATTTCAGAACCAAGCAGGCAGATGGGCTTCTGGCATCCATGGAGGATGGCATCAGGCCAGCATCCCTTGAGTTTTATAGGCAATTTAACTCCAGAGGCTGGGGGATGGGGTTAAGTCATTGCAATGAACACAGCTGAAGGTTGGTGGTTAATAGAGATGAGCTGTTGGTATTTCCTCCCTGGGATTTCACTCTGCAGAGAACTCAGATATCAGAGATACAGCCAGGGGCTGACAGAGTGTAGGAGGTACCGCTTAAGTGGCAACAAAACATTCCTCCCCACCGTGGAGGCTGAATGAGCAAGGTCTGGCCAGGCCCTGTGTCTGGTGAGCGCTCTCTTCTTGGTCACACTCTTACTGTGTCTACACACGGTAGAGAGAAAACGAGCTTCCTGGAACCTTCTGTGAGAATACTGGTTTGTTTGGGTCAGATTCCACTGTTAGAGTATCATTTTACCCTCATTGTCTCCCTTAAAGTCCAGCGTTGGGCTTCGATGCCTGAATCTAGGTGGACACATTCAGTGCACGTGACCTCTGCTCTGTGAACTTGGGTAGAACGTACCGGCCTCCTCTGGTTCCTCAGGTTGAATGCACACAGCTCTGACCTTCATGACATTTTACAAAGACATGCCACCTCTGCTGTCACTGGGATTCCCTCTTGCTCTGGGAATCCTGCATGAATTCTAGTGAGAGTCTCCTTAGGACCCACAGAGATCGCTCAGTGGTTAAGAGGATTTGCTGCCCTTGCAGAAGGCCTGGGTTCAGTTCCCGGAACCTGCAGAGGGTGGATCACAGCACACACAAATAAAATGAAAGTAAGCCTTTAAAGATAAGTGGAGGTAGCTGGAGAGATAGACCAGCAGTTAAGAATAGTTACTGCTCTTCCAGAAGACCTGGGTTTGATTCCCAGTAACCACAGCTGCCTGGAAGGCTAGTCCCAGGTGATCTGATGCCCTCTTCTGGCCTTCTCAAGAACTGCATGCACATCATGCAAAGGCCCCAGACACATAAAACAAACATAAATAAACAAATAGATAAATAAATAAATAATGTTCTTATTTGTTAAACAGTGGGGGAGGGGTCACAGATCCAATTCCCAATAACCAGGCCTGTGAATGAAGACTTCCATTTTACACAGTTTCAAGACTTTCTCCTACAGTTCCCACAGGGTTGCAAACTGCCCCTCCCACCAGCTCCAATGTCTCTTCCAGAAGGCCCACACCAAAAGCATGCCTTGGAGACGACCCACATTTCCCGGACCACTGCCATGCCTTCCCCCCACAGATCCTGTGGCACTTTCTCCATCTGGACCTGGGTCTCCAAAGCCTGGCTTCTTTCAAGATGGGTAGAAGCCGGGAGGTGTCCAAAGTATAGACGGTGTTTAGCTCCTCCCACCCTTGAGATCATGACCCTGGTGGAGACCATGGAACCGTGGTGTCGGGATGGCATGAGGCAGCTCCAACATCCTCAGTCGAAATAACTGGCATTTGTGTTTCCTGGGCGAATGCCACGTCCTGAATGGGACAAGAAGAGCTTGCAGCTCTCTGAGGTGCCGGTGGTTCCTGAAGAGGAAAGAATAGGTAACTAGGAGCCCACTCCTGCCATTGGCTTTGCTTGGGATGCCTGCAATAGTGCCTCACCACCAGGTTAGTGTTCGGCACTTTAAGTGGAGGGACTAGCAGTCCCGTACTTAATAAGATGAAAGAGGGCCGGGCATTGGTGGCACACGCCTTTAATCCCGGCACTCAGGAGGCAGAGGCAGGCGGATCTCTGTGGTTCAAGGCCAGCCTGGTCTACAGAGCGAGTTCCAGGACAGTCTCCAAAGCCATACAGAGAAACCCTGTCTCGAAACCCCCCCCCAAAAAGGTGAAAGAGGAGCCCCCTCTCACCTGCTAGTGGCATCCTGGAGTCTGTGGTGTGAGCAACAAGCCTGTGGGTGCTGCTCTGCAGCCCACAGCCCCTCCCATTGCACATTCTACTACCTACTTTCCCTCTCCCCGGAGAGGTCCTGCCTGGAGCCTCAAGGATGACAACATGGAGAAGCTGTAGCTCATCCTACTTCAGGGGTCAGCAAGCAAAGATGAACTGGCCTTTGGTCTCTTTGAACTAATGAGGAGCCTGGGAGTTTTGAATCATTTAGGGACCAACTTCCTGTCTGAAGAACACCTAGGGACTGAAACCATGCATTTCATCAATACAATTAATGTGAGGATTCTTGTAATCTAAGTCAGTGAGCAGTCACACTAGTCACACTGTCGTCTTTAAACACAATATTTATTCATTTTGTCCCTTCCTAGGAGTTGATGCTATCAAACATTCCACCCTCCTGGGATGTCCTTACCTGACCTGCTGTGAAAGTTCCTGGAGGCCCCTAATTGCCATCCCCCCCCCATCTCCAAGGCCCTCCCACTCCCAGCAGAGCCTGCCTTTGGCACAGCTGTGAATTCAGAGTTTCTACCTTCTGATCCCCAACTTGGGTTCTTCCTACTCCACTGCTTTCTGAGGAATGGGGGGAGGGCTCAGGAGCAAAGCCATCATCATTCAAAGACAGCAGTAAGCGAAACACCTGTGGAAATAGCCTCCCCCGGCCCCCCGAAG